CATCATTGCTATGAATGGAGTTTATTTCATTTAATAAATGTTTCATTTTGATATATAAGTTGTTCGGGTTTTTTCGTCTAAAAGAAAGTGACATTAGTTTCTTGACGACCTAATAGATAAAGTGTGTTATATCTGTAATATCGCTGGAAAGTCACATCTAACTATAAAGTGTTATATATTATTGAATGTTATCATGACCTATAATACAGGGAAAACATTATGTCAGTTTTATCTTGTACAGATACTAGTGAAATAGAAATAGATTTAATTATTCAACAACTTTCCATGTACATTTCATACTACTTACAATAGTATTTAACATTTTCATATCCTCAAAAGTATTATATGGTTAGAATTACACACGAGTATACATTTAAGGTGGATAGCACGTTGGATTTCTAATCCAAAGGTACAGGGTTCGTTCACTGGGCAGGGATGCCACCACCATTGCCTGGTCCCAAGTCCAGGATGAGAAAGGAGAAGGGTTGGGCGTGGGCTAGCAACTCCGCCCCGTAAAAACCAACCTGCTAAAAAATTACTGCAACAACAACTTCCATCAGCGAGGTGTTGTTGGGGCCCTATGCTCCAGTGGGAGTCTACAGGGATTATTATTTTTATTATAGATTTAAGAGGAGGTATGAACTTGGTTACAATGTAGAATAATAGCTTTACTTAATAATTTCCTGTAATTACAGATCTACTGAAGTGTAGAGCTGGAAAGTGAACTAATCAATATACAATAAATTACATCAGTTAGTGACACATAAAATAATTGATTAATCAAAATTATGATTAAATCAATTGTCACAAAAATAATCAACTAATCAAAATTAGTGTTTCTAATTATTACTGATTCCAACTGTCTAAGTAATCAAAATATTGTCATCATGATTTCTCATTCTTATTTTTTATTAACTGAAATATGTTTGGCTTAATCAATTATTGTGAATTATTGACTGATGAAAATAATCAACTAAATGAAATAAGTGCTTCTAATTATTAGTATTTTGATTATTTCAACTATCCTGGTAATCAAGATAATGGCACATAACTAGCCAACGTGATTCCCATTGTTCATGATTACCTTGCTTGGATTAAATGATAGTTTATATTTAACTTAATATATTGCTTACTTATTACAAGCCAGTGTTAATTAGTATAAGATTGCTTTAACAAAAAATTAATGCAAGACAATATTCATTATTCCTTATTTGTTGAAAAACTTGCTCATTTAACTGTGTTTGTCTGAAATTACTAGATATGGACTAATTACAGTCTAACAGTATATAACACCTTTAAATTATTAACCTCTTTATATGAACAAGGCTTCTATTGAATTACAACTAGTTCTAGCTCGATAGGAAGCACTGAAAAGGGAAAACAAAAGTTTGACTGTCATGTGCTGCCTAGTACAGTAATCTTTAAGTTATTCATTCCTCAATGTGACTGTGTTTTCTAAGTTTTTTTCTTGTACATGTTGTAAAATGTAAATGTATTAATCATTTTGATATGTTCTTTCTAAACTTCCATCAGTTGTTGTTGTAGTAGGGATTTAGAATTGAAGACCAAGGGTGCTCAGAACTTAAATAATTTCTCTTTTCCCTACTTTCAATAAAAGAGGAACATGGAGATCACTTTGCGAGAAAAAAGAAAGATGAAAAACTATACAGAAATCAGTAGCTCCAATATTAAAGAATTTATGGCTGGCCAATGGCAAAAAAAAAATTGGCTGTAAGGGAGAAAACTTGTTGCATAAATAATCTGACATGTTTTGTCATATTACCATATTCTAAACAAGGTCTAATGTAGACTCTATAAATGAGCATAATTGGATATGAATTATATCCATTAACACTGCCTTGGATTTGATAAAGATTATTCCATGTGAATCGGTTAATGAACGTTGTCCCCAAAAATTTAACTGTATTAATTGAATACTTGAAGCATTTTTTATTGGCACTAATAACTTCTCACTTAAATACTTATGATGTTTTTATACTCAAATTGTTTTTTTTCCAAAGTTTTTTGCATAGTTGATGGGATTTTAAAAAATCAGAAGCATCTGTAATTATAGTTTTTTTTATCTTACTATGATTTTAATATTTCTTATGACACTTTGATTTCCACCTTATGAAACATTTTAATTTCTGCAAAGAGGTCAACTTGTATCATCATATATTTTCTTGCCAAATCATAAACATTGTACTGTCTGTGGTTTGCTAGGATTGGAAATAATTTGTTTTCACTGAATTATATATTATCTATCACACTCTGTGACAAGAATTTTTGCTAGATTTATCACATGAAATCTAAGGACAATTATTTTTATTGAAGAGTTAGCTTGTTTAGTTTTAGTAGAGTTGTCTAGTGAGAATTTGTAGAGAGAAACCCATGGAACAGTATTAATTGTATTTTCAGCTTGTTACAGGTTTTGTACTAGTTTATGTACGTAATACATTTTCATGTATAACAGTTTAGGATTAAAAAAGTAACTTAATCCTAATTTGTTGCACCTGAAGGTATCTATCAAGGATAGTTTGAAATGATCTTTAAAAATAGCCAAAACAATCTTAAAATAGGAAAATTTGTATCACAAGACTAATAGATTAGTTGAATATTATAGATTAATGAGTCTGATGATTAATTGATTAGTTAAATTGTACTAGTCACCCAGCTCTACCAAGAATATTGTGTATGTATACACAAACTTCAGAATAACACTAACTTACACTTTTACATAATGAATACTTTTTGTAACAGCTATACTCAGGAATATTGTTTGAATGATTTTATTAAAGCCTCAGAAAAACTTTTCAGAATTTGATGATGTTTGATAAATATGTTTGTTTTTTTAGATATTGTCCATCTATAGAATCAAAATGCTTGAGATTTAGGAATCGATCTCACCAGATTTGGTTGGAACCAGAAGGTATTAATTTAAACATGTTTGAAAACTAGAGTAAACTTCATTATGAAACTTCTTGAAAATTGAGTGTTTAAAAGTTGCTTTGGCATTTGGTAAACATTTTCAATTTCTTACTGGAAAGGAAATTTATAGGTAAATACTAAGGATTCTGCATAATTTTCATATTTTATGGAATCATAAATATCAAGATTATATCATAAACATATTCTAGTTTTCTCTGTTCTGTCCATATATATGATTAGATACTTGTCATGTGGTGAGAAGTGAGATGTCACATGTTTCTAATAATATGGCTTAAATTGCGAAATAGTATTTTATATGATTGGAAACAAAAAGTATTTTTGAAATAAGAACAGCTTACAAGAATATGTTTGTGCAAGAAGTAATTTTCAACTTAGGTCATATTCTTAGAAGTATGTAAAATTTCACTTCTGGTACAATGACCACGTAACTGATCATCATGCTTACAATGGTCATTTACAATTTACCCCTGATGAAGGAAGCTCCATTTTTCAAAATCACTTTGTCTATTGGGTTTCTTTTCTAATGTTAGCTTTTTACTGCTACTTCTATATACTTTGGAATGTCATGATTATGTATCTGTATCAGTTTTTTTTTTATCAAGATATAAATTGTATTTTAGTTTTTGTGTGCTATCATTGTATTCTAAATCTTTGATTTTTTTTGCTGTGGTTTAGAAGTTTGGCTTATATTCAGTTAAAACATACCATAATACTATTTAATATAAAATTGAAGTAATAATTTAAAGGATAAAAAGATTCACATAATAAACTATTACTTGGTGTCAAAAATATTCAGTCACCTTAAAAAAAAGTGTTTATGAACTATAATGATTTGTAAGGATTTTCTGGACTGAAGAGGTGTCACTGATATCTGTTGATTATTTTTATTCTCAAGTAGAATTACTTAACCAAATTGCATGAAACTTATTACAAACTTATTAAATAGTATATAGTTGAGATTTAAAAAAAATCATATAATTTGATTTAGGTTTCTATCATTTTTAGGTTATGAAATTTCCAGAACTTTCTTGTGAAACATTTTTGGGCAAACATTAAAAATACTTTCTTTCACCTTAGAAATTCAATTGTTTAATATTGTTGATCAGAAAGTTCCATTTTTTTTGTATATTCAGTCAGTTTCAACTTGATTGATAAGTTTATTTGGATACTTTATTTTTATGTTTGCAGTCATCACCATTTTTGGCTATAAGTCATAAAAACAGCAAAACTAATAAAGATTTATTGGTGACCCCAAACATGATCTTTCACAGTTACTTTTGTCAGGCTGTATAACAATATTTTTGCTGATAATATTCTTTTCGAGATCAGTTTAATTTCATAGTTTTTTTTTTCAATGAATAATGAATTCGTTTTTTGAATATGAGAAACATAATAATATTCAAAAATTAAGGATTTGAGTCATCAAAATTTTTGTCTATCATACTCATTACAAGAAAATATCTGTAGCTCTAAAACTGATACAATTTAACGTAAAAACATTTTCAGGGATTAAAAAACCAAAAACTACTACAAAAGCAATTAAAAAGTTCCCAGATTTGGGGTTGTTCCTTAGTCTTCTAAACTTTCCATTAGATTCCTTTGTTTATTCTTATTGAAGCTCTAGGTAATCACTTTCCAAGTTATGGCTCACATCATTTTATTTACTCTATATTAGTATAAGTAGTTTATAATCTGCTTTGTCTAATCATATGTTAACATTGCCTTTATTTATTTTCAAAGCTTTTCTTTATTAGTCATTATTTTATTACAAGTTACAGCTTTTACAGTAAGGAAGATTTGTTTTTAGAACAGATACAACATTTCAATCAGCGGTGCAATCATGTTCAAGTACACAAGTTTTAACAGTAATGAATGATTTAGTATTTAGATCAACATTCAACAGTCTAAAAATGTATTTAAATTTTTAGAATTAAAATTGATTAATTACGTATATCCATAGCAATACATGTGAATTGACAGATATTAACTTATGGCTGAAGATGAAAAGAAAACTCTCAGAAAGTGAATAAATATGAAAATATAGAAATGTTGTGTGAAATATTTGTGTAAGATTAGGAATGTCTAGAGAAATAAATTTCAAAGACATATAGAGATGTGCCTGGGTATTTATAATTGTGGGATTGTTTGATTTTATTAATAAGGCTTCTCTGATTTTTCTTCCGTTAATGTCAGGTTCATGTTTAGGTATTGTGACAATCTGTTCACAAAAACTGTTTTTTTTTGTTCATATGTTCATGGATGTGGGAAAGGTTTTTTGTGTTCTTTTAACCTGATATTCAAAATACATTATGTTTCACTTATGTAAAAGGCTGGGCGATTGTTACACTTTATTTTCTAAATGTTTCCTGGTGGGGTGGGTTCATTATAAGAAGCCTGTAAAACAAAATTTTACATTATTGTGAATTACACAAATTCTGACACAATACTTCCATCTTCTCACAAGAACTAGTATTTTGTAATTTTCCAATGTAGATGTTATAAATTTCCTATACTGATAGGTACTTCCCTCTACTCAAAACATTAGCTATTCTCGTTCATTGTTGCCCTCTATATGCAAACTTGTTTATTATGCATGCCACAAGCCTTCCACACCACCCTATTGGAATAAAATGATTCCAATGTGTCTCTCATGTAAGTCATCATGCATCACCTATCCACCAATAGGAGCATAGTACACTCACATGATGCATGTGACTCCCTCTATGTGCCTCTACTGAACTGTCACTTCTCGTTTTGCAGTGCTGGCACTCAGACATATTTCTTTTTTGTTTGATTTTGTGTTTAAGATTGTATTTTCTGGAAGTGATTTCATTTAATTTAAAACACTCAGTTTTTTTACATTATTTCATATCACTTACCCTTATTTCAGTCTCATTTCTTATTTATGTTGAATGCTTTTGTTGATTACATCATTATGAATCCTGAAGTTAATGTAATCACTTCGGGTATCACACAATCAACGGACGCTATACCACGGGCTTCAGGTGCTGGCAATCTGGACGGGATATTTGTCTATTTGCAGGGAGATTGAATGTTACATGGGTCAACCTTTATCTCCAAACATTGCCCCTTTTCCTCCTGAACCTGTGGAACCTGGTCAGGTTAACGAGGACTTTGATCATCTGTTTCCACCTCCTGAATTTGCTGTGTCTTTCCATACCTGGGGATTCTGTTCAGCCATCCACAGGTTTTTTGGACTTTATTTCTCAGGTACATGATGTTTTATCCATTGCTCCTATATCTTATGTCCCACATCCTTTGTTATTGCATGAACATACTTCCCAACCCTATTTGGTGTTTCCCCCATCCCTTGACAATCGGGTTCATGCTGACAATTTACCTCTCAGTTGGGTGATGGTGTTAATATGCCTCGTCTCCAACAGGCTTCGGATCAGTCGGCCCTCGCATTTCATAGGGTGGACTGTCCATATCTCGACAAACAGCTGTTAGGTTTGGTTTTGCCCATTTGGGGGTGGGCCCCGAATCTCCCGTTAGTCTCACCCATGCCCAATTTTCCTGTCTCTGTCTTACCCTCACGACCCTCTTGCGGTACCTGTCTGAGGCTCTTCACAGAAATCCTGAGGGGTTTTTCTCGGGACACCCTCTCCCTCTTTACCTCCTCATTGACTCATTTATTGCCTTTGACTCTGGCTTTACAGAGGTGGTAACTTTGTTATTGGAACCTTTTAGGTTGTGATGCTGTTTTATCTTGAACCTGAGAGTTGCGTATGGCTTTGTTTTTAAGATATTTCATCTTTGATACAGTTTTGGAATCCTTGGTTGGCATTTGCAAGCAACCCTCTACCATTTCCCATCTAGTTTCCAGTTCATCTCAGTCAGAGCCAAGTGTGGCTCCTATTTCAGTTTCTCGTCTTACCCCTTCCCATCCCTTACCTGTCCCTCCTTTCTGTGGTGCCATGGTTCACCTTTTTTTCCCAATGATGCATGATATGCCACCAACAGTTCCAGTGATTACCTCGTGGGATTCGGGCACAGTGGAAGCTCGCCTTGCAGCCTTTGTTCCTTGGTGGCACCCTTTCATCTCGGATATTTGGGTTCTTCAGATTTTGTCAGTGGGATACAAAATTCCGTTTCTTGCCCCATCTTCTTTGTGCCAGCTACCTGTTTCTTTTCCCTTCTCCTCGGGATCCAGTAACTTGCCAGCATGTGTCAGAGGTGGTACAGGACCTCCTCACCCAACAGGCTATAGAACCTGTTCCATGTTATTCACTGGGATTTTACTCCCCTCTGTTTGTGATTCCCAAAAAGACCAGTGATTGGAGGCCTGTCATCGATCTTTCCTGCCTCAACCACTTTGTTCACCTCCCACACTTCACCATAGAGTCCTACCTGAACCTTTGGTGGGCTTTTTCACCAAGTCTACGGATGACCAAGATGGACATCTCCAATGCCTATCTGCATATTCCCATCTCGAAATGGTCTTGTCCTTATCTTCGGTTTGTCCATCAAAGGGTGGTATATCAATTTTGCATCCTACCCTTCTAGCAGGCTTCTGGCTGTTGGATGGTATGAGCTTTTGCTCTTCATCTTCATGCCCTGGGGCTGCATTTCCATTTTTACTGGACAACTGGTTACTTCTGGCCCATTCATACTCATCAGTTCCTTCTCCATGCTGCTCGGGTAGGCTGGTTGATCAAATTGTAGAAGTCCTACCTTGTACATTTTGGTGTCTTTTTCAACACTCACTTCAGTCGGGCCCAAATTTCTCTTCTCAGTCTCTGTTCTATGGAATTGTCAGTTCACCATGCCCTGTCTGCTCCCTTACTTTTTGCATGCAAGGTGCTATCCCTTTTGGGGATGTGGTCTTCTTTGATACCACTAATCCCTCTTGGACATGCACACATGCTCTCTTCAGTGGACTGTGCACAATCAATGGGACCTTGCTTGGGATCCCTTGGATACTCTCATCACCCTTTCTCCTTCCCTTGTAGACAATCT